CTTTGAAGTGATCGATATATAATACTCTCAATGATGTGAAATGATTGCCGATTAATGGCATACAATTGTGATCGAAACGAGTGACCATTAGTTCCCTCAACTGATCCACACGTTTGTCGGCCAATCGGGAAATGGCGGTCGCGTTCAACAGATTACCCGTAGTGTTGATTGACTTTATGCCGGCGTTCATGTGTTCAAAGGCACGGCCAGTGTATTGGTGCCGAACCCCAGCAAACAGAGTGAACCACTTGAGTGCCGGCAATCCCTTCAACAATAACCCAACGGCCGGTTCACTAATCGCTACATCGGTATCGACGCAAAGATGGGTTAAATTGGGATAATTTTGTGTCAAAAGTAGTACATCTGAGGCAGTGATCCGAAGAGTGTTTGTGCTTTCATTTTCCCCCAAAACGAAAAACGTATTCATGTTTTCGTTGCGCTGAAGACACAAACATTTGATGAAATTGTTGTTCAGGTCTTTTACCGATGCGATGAGTAAATTGATGTGACAATATTTGGCCACAATCTGTCCGATGGCCCGGAGTTGCTCTTTCTTGGCCGCCGATTGCGGCACAAAATCATTTAAAACAATGTGATCGACAGAAATGTGAGGCAATGGACGCACCGATCCGTACGAATAGTGTTTGAATTTTTGCGGCCAACCGATCATTATCTCAGTCTTGGAGTTGAATATAGCGGTGATGTGTTGTCGCCATTGAGTGCACACTCTTTCGGCCATAAGTCGTGATTTGAGGTCTAATTTGGCGAAAACTATGGCCAAAAGTTCATTGGGAAGCATATCATTGATATTTGGCTGCTCTGGTATGTAATCCCTGACACCTGTGCCCACCGTTGGGTCATATCTTTCATTGATTCTTATGATTTTGACAAAACATTTCTTTGTCTCATTTGATCCCATAAGAGGACTAACCATTGATTTCTGCTTTATTTTTGAGATTAAATTCCTTACAATTTTGTTGAATTACTTGAAATTAACTGTAAATTAACTGCGAGTTAACGTTTAAAATATAAAGATTTAAACATTTATTGATATTATTTTCATGAGAAATACTTTAGGTAAGTATTGTTGAAGATTAATGTAAATTAATTATTATAATTAACTAGTTATACATTAAATTGATTATTTAAATTAAAATGTGTTATTAAATTATTATTACAGACTTCATAGAGAAATGTATATTTATTTACTTCAACGGTATTTAGAGTTAAAACACAACTCAAAAACAGAGGCAGAGATACGGTTCACACGATTAATGAATTGTCTGCAAGATTTGTATTCTGTGAATACATTATTTATGAGCAATTATATGAAGTCCAATGGTATGACAAAAACTGGATTACTTAATGAAATTGTATCATGATGATGTTGATATCCAGAATGTTAATGTTTATAATAAATATGATTATTAATTAGACCAGATTTTACCCTTGTATTAATGAAATAAATATTGTTGTACAATTTATTTTTAAATCACTATCCCATTAATGTGATATGAAGGTTACGAATACCTTACCATTAGACTACCATTAATTTAGATATAGTAATAGTGCTTTAGGCAATTATTTTTATAAATAATTTGATTGGCATTTATTATACAATATAATATTATTTGAGTTAAGATTTTTGTTGGATTAACAAAATTTGTGTTATTATGCTTTAATTGTCGTAAATGAATTGACGCAAACATTTACGTATATTTTTGAAGTATTAAGTTAAAATTGTGGTAAACACAATGTAGACATAAAATATTTCATGTTTCCTAAATGTAAGGAGAATTGTTATTGAATTAGATTCTTATTTATGCAATGTTAAATAGCCACATTGTCTAATTTGATAGTGTTTTGTTTTGTTAAATACAATTATAATGTATTTAAACGTTGAATAAAATTTTGATTTATTGGTGAATACTGTATATAAAATTTACAAGTTATGCACCCACTTTACTTACAAAACCCGTTTATAAAATTCTAGGATTACATTGTACAAAACCAAACAATTATTTATTCAGTTTACAGTTACACAACTTGTAGAATATTCTATAGAATAAATAGAAAATAATACATTTCATATATATAAATATAGTAAATATTATACAGTATACTGATAAAATAAGCTTATTAATTATAAAATAATTTACAAATAATAACATTTGAATAATGATAAATTATCATTGATAATCGTTTGTTATTTCAATATTATTTAATTCAAGTGATTTTATAAACCTCATCTTTCCTTGCTAAAACTTCTAACTTGTAAATGAATATATGAGTACATATTTCTCAATAGGTATAGCGATTTCAATAGAAAACCACTTGTTGTAGTGAATTATTAGCATTTATAAAGTGGGCAAAAGTCCAAACCATCATTTGATAAACTTTAAAGTACTCACTTATGTAACTTATAAAACACAAAGTGACTAAAACTAGCTTAAGTTATACAATATACAACTACAAAAAATATTGTATTATACAAGTATGTAAGTCGAGTAAAGGTACAAGTATCATTGCAATATTTGATGCAATTTTACACAAAATCATATATTGATTTTTTGTATAGTTATTTATAAATTAAATTGTAATTACACGTTGTATTTGTATTTGTAATAATAAATTTATTTTTATTATTAATTCTAAGCATAACTGATATTTTTATTTGTAAATTAAAAAGAAATATTACTAAAAATGAGTGATAATGTTTGTGGTGTTTGTGGGGACCGATCAACAGGTATGGCATGAATTGACCATAGCGTTTCTTGACTAACCTATTTTAAATATTCTTTCAATTGTTATAATAAATGAATATATCAATTATTTAGGCCAGAACTTTGGTGTCTTAACGTGTGAATCCTGTCGATCATTCTTTCGGAGAAATGCCAACAGAGCAGAGGTTATAATAATTTAATAATTATATTATTAGTTAATATTAAATAATAACGTTTACTATATTTGAATATAAATAGAAATTATGCTGTTATGCCGTCAATCAATGTGTTGTCAATCAATTGACGAGAAAAACCTGTAAAAAGTGTAGAATTGATAAATGTTTGGCCATCGGAATGAAGAAAGTGAGTGCACTATATGTCCATTATTAAAGTCATGATCATTTAGTGAAAAACTAATTACACACAAATAATTTTGACATAAATTTTATCACAATTTAATTAATGCCAAAATTGCTATTTTAGAAATTGATTCGCAAAAACAATGAGAGCACTCCATCCCAGGCCTCGACTGTCAGTTCGCCATCGGATGCGATGTGTTTGTATCGAAAGGATGGCATCAGTGATAATAATGCAGACAACTGTGCCATCAATCAGATCCCAGCCCTTATTCGTGGCCTTATATTTCAATTCAATGATCTGGAAATGCGTCGATTGAGACAATTATTCAACTCAACGGCTATTATAAAAGACCCGATCGTAGAGATAGCGTCAGAACCGATATCAGTATCGGAAATCTACCATGTTATACAAGCTAGAATTGAAATACATTGTCGGCGTATAATTAAAATGTGCAAAACTATCAATGAATTCACAGAGTTGTGCGAAAACGACAGAATAATCCTATTGAAGGCCTGCTGTCCAGAGATTATATGCCTCTTAAGTGTACTAACTTTTGATTTTGTGGGCGAATTCTGGACCCTTTATATTGTATGAAATGATTTCATGTATTTTATTATTAAATTTTAACATTTGATCATGTTTAGCGTTCGGACAATGCAGCCATCATTACATTAGATGTATTAAAGTGGGGTACAGAGAATGTCTATGGATTTCAAAAGGATTTTATGTATAAACTAAACCAAGAGTATAATCAAGACATGAATCTATTGGATTTGGTGATTATATTTTTAAATCGTTTAAAATTTTAACTGTATTTAATTTCATGTTTGTTTTAGTTGATAGCAATTGTATTATTTAATCCAAATCGATCTAATATAATACAAAAAGATTTAATTAAGTAAGTGATGAAATAAAAAGTTATACTGGTAATACTTTTGAAGAATTTTAAAATTTAATAATTTATGTTTACATTACAGACTTCAAAGGAAAACATATATTTATTTACTTCAACGGTATTTAGAAGTAAAACACAACTCGAAAACAGAGGCAGAGATACGGTTCACACGATTAATGAATTGTCTGCAAAACGTTTATTCCGTGAATGCATTATTTTTAAGCAATTATTTATCCTACCCTGGTCCTAAAAGTACCCAATTGATAGCAGAAATTTTATCATAGTAATGGTTATTCCGTATAGCATAAATATTACATTTCTATTTATAAATTGAATTTTTTTATTAATGTTAATAATTGATAAATTATTAATTGTTTGTATTAATCACTAACGAGTAATTGCTATTTGATGTTATAATTATTTATATTTTATTTTGTAAATTAAATTAAACAAATAAAAATTGTGAAATTTTCAATAGATTGCATAATTCAATTAGTATAGTAAAAAGTATTAACCTTATTAATTTAATTATACAATAAAATTAATATCATTTTAGTTATTGATGTTTTTACATAAACATTCAAATAATACACTGTATATAATAGCGCATGTGTCCAAGGTAAAATTGATAATAAATATCATAGGTAACGTAGATAATATAATTATCAATAAGAATTCATTATTATTATTTGTTACCAGGTGCATTAATAACTAACCGCTATAGTGATTATTATTTCTATGAATTATGCTATTGTAGATTATAGCGAAATTATTGATATGTGCTAATTCATTTATGTATTAATAACTAATAACATGAATAATGCTAATATTTTAAATAACAAACATTATATACTTTGGATTGACTTATTTATGTGTAAAATACTTATTGCGGAGAAAAGAAAACTTTGGTCAATACATACAATCAATTAGTAGTTTGTTATTAGAAATGAGTGCTAAAATATGTGCCGTTTGTGGGGATAAAGCATTATGTATTAAATGTTCAAAAATATTATCATATAATTAATTTTAAATTATAAATAACATAATGTATTCACTGTTAAGGTCTCAGTTACGGCGCTCTTACCTGCGAATCGTGTCGAGTATTCTTTGGTAGAAATGTCAACAGAATTCAAGTTTTATTGATTTATTAATTAAAATTTTAATATAATTATGTTTTGCTATATATTTAGGAATTTTATTGTATTTTTGACAATCAATGTGTTGTCAATCAATTGACGCGAAAATTCTGTAAAAAGTGTAGAATTGATAAATGTTTGGCAAAAGGCATGAAGAAAGTGAGTGACCTTTTAATCCATTATGTATTTAACGTTAAACTATTGGCAACAAAAATATACATAAATACCAAATAGAATGCAATATTAATAATACTCTGTCTTATAAAACAGGGATTTTTTCATACAAACGAAGAAAGGGAACAAATGGTTAAATATAGTGATCAAAACCAAACGATAAACAATGAAATCACTACTATTTCCAAGACATCGACTCCCAGTGGCATCAATTGGGTGTTAGATATGATATCCGGTGTTATATTTGATTTAAATGATATGGAAAGGCATCGATTGACACAATTGTTTAAATCAACCGCTTTTATAAAAGACCCGGTCGTGAGGCCAACATCTGAAGCCAATACAATACCCGAAATCATACGAGTGTTACAAATGAGAACTGAAATACATTGTCGGAGAATAATTAAAATGTGTAAAACATTGACTGAATTCACAGAATTGTGCGAAAACGACAGAATAATACTTTTGAAGACTTGCTGTCCAGAGATTATATGCCTAACAAGTATATTAACATTTAATTTTGACGGACAATTCTGGACTCTTTATATTGTATGAAATGTTATTTTAAATGATAAATTATAAATTTATATTATATGTTGATTATTTAGGATTCGAAATCAGCTGTTAAGATGGACCTAGATGTTTTAAAGTTGGGCAAATTAAGCATTTATGATGGTCAAAGAAACTTTATGTTTAAACTTAACCAAGAGTACAATCACGACACGAATCTCATGGATTTGGTATTTATATATTGTTTTAATAAAATTCAGTTATAAAATATTCTCTATATTTACAGTTAACAGTCATTGTTTTATTTAATCCCAATCGGCCTGATTTGAGACACCGAGATATAATTAAGTAAGTGATTATGTTATTTTAAATGATATAATTATTTAATTAAAAATTTATTTATATCGCAGTTTGCAAAGACAAACGTATATTTATTTACTTCAACGGTATTTAAAGTTAAAACACAACTCAAAAACAGAGGCAGAGATACGGTTCACACGATTAATGAATTGTCTGCAAGACTTGTATTCTGTGAATACATTATTTGTAAACAATTATATGGAAAACGAAAATATGAAAAAGACTGAATTACTCGCAGAAATTTTGTCATAATTTTAAAGTAATAAAGTATTGTTTTATTTATAAAGTATATAATATTATTTCTATTATTTATCAAAAATATACCTTGTTAGTTTTATTCCAGTCTATAATTATATACAATTGGTATTGTATGGACATATTTTAAAACATCTAAAAAAATATGTCAAAAATAAATGCTCAAAATCTTAAGGGTTTGTAATATAAGAAATGCTAAGAGATGTCGATAAACAATCCAAATGTGTTACACAACGACCGAATTGTGTAAAATCAATTAGATAATTCTAAATTAAATTACCGTATTTTAAGTTAATGTAAAACTGTATTATTTTTATCAATTGATATATGTCGTTAAGTTGTTTACTAACTAAATAATTAATTGAAAATAATATTTTATAGAAGTTCCAAGTATTTCATATATATAATCAATTAATACCTATGTAATTAACAATTGTGCTATTTATCAGATAAGGTGCTCCTTAATAAAGATAGTTCCTATAGGGCTTTAAAAACAACGTTACGTCACAAACACCTTTTACAAATACTGTATAATGTAGAATGTACAAAATATTTATTACTAAAATCTTTTTCAATTTTTACCATAATACCAATATGTTTATAATAAAATATAACTTGAGAAAACTATTATAAATAAAGACTTATAAAAATTATTTAAATAATGAAAATAAGTGATAGAATATGTGCCGTTTGTGGAGATAAAGCATTATGTATTGTCTTAATCATTACAAATTGTAATGTGTATTATATTGCAAATAACTCAATGTATTCAATATTTAGATCAAAGTTACGGCGCCTTTACTTGTGATCCGTGTCGGGTATTCTTCAGCAGAAATGCCACCGAAACTCAGGTTTTATTGATTTTTAATGGTTTAATGGTTGAGATAATTGTATTTTGAAATATAATTTTAGGCATTGGTTTGTCGTTTTGACGGTAAATGTATTGTCAATCAATTGACGCGAAAATTCTGCAAAAAGTGTAGAATTGATAAATGTTTTGCCATTGGATTGAAAAAAGTGAGCGATTTTTCAATGCATTTGTTTTATACATTATAAAATAATGTATAAATAATATTTATATTTATTTACTTAACAGGAATATTGTGACCCAAAAACAGAAATTAAAAATAAAGTCAAATATCATAATTGCATACAATTTAAAGATATTGAATCCACTTCTTGTCGGGACTCAACTCTCAAGTCAAAGGGGGATTTGATGTGTTTGTATGGAAACGATGGCAGCGATAACATTGGCATCAAACAGATCTCAATCGCCTTACGGGGAGTTATATTTGGTTTAAATGATATGGAAAGGTGTCGATTGACACAAGTGTTTAAATCAACCGCTTTTATAAAAGACCCGATCGTTAGGCCCACGTCTGAAGTCAATACAGGGGCCGAAGCGTTAAGAGTGTTACGAATAAGAACTGAAATACATTGTCGGCGTATAATTAAAATGTGTAAAACTATCGACGAATTTACAGAATTGTGCGAAAACGACAGAATAATACTTTTGAAGACCTGCTGTCCAGAGATTATATGCCTAACAAGTGTATTAACGTTTAATTTTGACGGACAATTCTGGACGCTTTATATTGTATGAAATGTTATTTTAAATTATGAATTATGGATTTATATTGGATGTTTATTATTAAGGATTCAAAATCAGCTGTTAGGATGGACCTAGACGTTTTAAAGTGGGGCAAATTAAGTATTTATGATGGTCAACGAAATTTTATGTTTAAACTTAACCAAGAGTATAATCACGACACGAATCTCATGGATTTGGTATTTACAAGGCCTTTAATAAGGTGCTCTCACAATAAGTCGCTCTCACGCTCCCTCTTTCTGCCCCCCCCATTGACTGAACCCATACAAAAGCATTCATACACACCCACAATATCATCCAATAATAAAGAGGGAGCGAGATAATGTGAGAGCGCCTTATTAAAGGCCTTGTTATATATTGTTTTAATAAAATTCAGTTATAAAATATTCTTTATATTTACAGTTAACAGTTATTGTTTTATTTAATCCCAATCGGCCTAATTTGAGACACCGAGATATAATTAAGTAAGTGATCATGTTATTTTAGATTATAAAATTGTTTAATTAACAATTTATTTACATCGCAGTTTGCAAAGAAAAACGTATATTTATTTACTTAAACGGTATTTAGAGTTAAAACATAACTCAAAATCGGAGGCAGAGATGCGGTTCACGGCATTAATGAATTGTCTGCAAGACTTGTATTCTGTGAACACATTATTTGTAAACAATTATATGGAAAACGAAAATATGAAAAAGACTGAATTACTCGCAGAAATTTTGTCATAATTATAAAGTAATAAATGTTAATATATAATATATTATATTAATTATTTATACATTGTAAATGTGATTAATAATATACTGTTTTATAAATAAAGTCTGAAATGTTATTTCTATTGTTTATCAAAAATATATCTTGTTAGTTTGATTCTAGCAAATTATATAAAATTGATATTGTATGGATATATTCTATGACATCTCAAATAAAGATATCAAAAATAATACTCAAAATCTTAAGGGTTTGTGACATAAGAAATGCTAAGAGATGTCGATAAACAATCCAAATGTGTTACACAACGACCCAATTGAGCGATTTGTGTAAAAACGATTAGATAATCCTAAATCAAATTACAATATTTTAATTTAATGTAAAACTGCATTATCTTTATCAAATGGTATATGGCGTTGAGTTGTTTACTAACTAAATAGTTAATTGAAAATAATATTTTATAGGAGTTCCAAGTATTTCTTATATCTAATCAATTAATACCTATGTAATCAAGAATTGTGCTATTTATCAGATAAGGTGCTCCTTCATAAACATAGTTCCTATAGGGTCTTAAAACAATGCTACGTCAAAAAAACCTTTACAATTACTGTATAATGTAGGATGTACGAAATATTTATTACTAATTTATCAATTGTAATATTCTGCATTTTTTACTATACTACCAACATGTTTATAATAAAATATAACTTGGGACGACTAATATAAACTTTTAGAAATATATAAAAATTATTTAAATAATAAAAATGAGTGATAGAATATGTGCCGTTTGTGGGGATAAAGCATTATGTATTGCATTAATTATTAATGTGTATTATAATTACAAATAACTCAATGTATTTAATATTTAGATCAAAGTTACGGCGCCTCTACTTGTGATCCGTGTCGGGTATTCTTCCGTAGAAATGCCACCAAAACTAAGGTTTTAATGATTTTTTAATTTAATGGTTTAGATAATTGTATTTTAAAATATAATTTTAGGCATTGGTTTGTCGTTTCGACGGTAAATGTATTGTCAATCAATTGACGCGAAAATTTTGCAAAAAGTGTAGAATTGATAAATGTTTTGCCATTGGAATGAAAAAAGTAAGCGACTTTTCAATCTATTTATTTTATACATTAGTAGTATAATAATCAATAAAAACTAATTATTAGATTTGTAAAATCTATTTATGTATTTAAAATTAACATGACATTTTGGATATTAACAGGAATATTGTGATCCAAAAACAGAACTTGAAAATAGAGACAAATATAATAATTGCATACAATTTAAAGACATTGAATCCACTTCTTGTCGGGACTCAACTCTCAAGTCAAAGGGGGATTTGATGTGTTTGTATGGAAACGATGGCAGTGATAACATTGGCATCAAACAGATCTCAGTCGCCTTACGGGGAGTTATATTTGGTTTAAATGATATGGAAAGGTGTCGATTGACACAAGTGTTTAAATCAACCGCTTTTATAAAAGACCCGGTCGTGAGCCCAACGTCTGAAGTCAATACAATAGCCGAAGCGTTAAGAGTGTTACGAATGAGAACTGAAATACATTGTCGGCGTATAATTAAAATGTGTAAAACTATCGATGAATTCACAGAATTGTGCGAAAACGACAGAATAATTCTTTTGAAGACCTGCTGTCCAGAGATTATATGTCTCTCAAGTGTCCTAACGTTTGATTTTGTGGGCAAATTCTGGACCGTCTATATTGTATAAAATACTAATTAATTTTTTAAATTTTTAAATATTTGTTATTATTTAAATAAGATTTGAATTTTGTTTGAATATTTAGGACTCAAAATCTGTGGCCAGTTTAAGCGTAGATACTTTAAAGTGGGGCACCATGAGCAATTTTGATCGGCAAAGAATTATGAATTTTATGTACAAACTTAACCAAGAGTATAATGGCGATACAAATCTAATGGATTTGGTGATTATAATTTTAATAATATTTTATCATTTTCTTAATAATACATGTTTACAGTTAACAGCTATTGTCTTATTTAATCCAAATCGTCATAATTTAAGACAAAGAGATATAATAAAGTAAGTGTAAAAAATATAGAAAATTAATTTATATGATCTCATAAATTGATTAAATTTTGTTTGTATCGCAGTTTGCAAAGAAAAATCTATATGTATTTAATTCAACGGTATTTAGAGTTAAAACACAACTCAAAAACAGAGGCAGAGATACGGTTCACGGCATTAATGAATTGTCTGCAAGACTTGTATTCTGTGAACACATTATTTGTCAACAATTATATGGAACACGAAAATATGGAAAAGACTGAATTACTCGCAGAAATATTACCATAATATAATACTAGTATAATAATAATTGATTAATTATAAATATGAATGAAATATACTTTCTTATGTATTTCTAGATTACATTCATAATTTTAAACAAATTCTATTGTTACTATGCGCAATAAATTATGGTGAATTCACGGCAACTCTATTTCTATAAAACAAAATAACAGTTAAACTCTTTGACTCTAAACTTAATATTACCTCAACACGAATAACACTCTTATATATCAAATGTTGATTTAAAAAATATTACATTATTCTGTGCTATTAAATACTTCTAATTAAAATTTAACTGTAACAATTACAGTATAATACTGTACATACAATTTGCAATCTAGTTTTAATATAATATGTTTATCATATGATATAAATTAAAAATATATTTACGATTTGTTTAGTTCTATTTTAAATGAATTTATGATTTTTTTTGTAAATTTAACTTAAATTTTTATATCAATTCAATTTCAATTAATTATAATAAAATAGATATTGCGATTTGATTGACATTGTTTTATAATATAAACACTATATTAAAGTAAATAGCATGTGAGAACCTGCTTGCTAAATCACACATTATTTAATTTTCTTCTATAATTATAAATCGAGTATTTCCATGTGGCACAATTTGCTCACAAACATAACAACAATACTGTCAATACCACTAAAGTAATTATTGTTGTAAACTCTTGAGTTGAATATTAAAAATAATTTTTATAGCCTTGGAATACATTTGATAAAAATTATTTAAAACCCTTTTGTAGACCGCATTAGTGTTGGGAAATTCACGTCATATTTCCCCAATTTAAGGAAAAATACCTATTTTATCAATAGAAGTCCAATTGTTCATGTTGTTGTTAGAAAATTATTTTGTGGGGCAAATAACCATGTTCACCTAAATTATTTTAACATCTATTCTATTAAATCTAAAAATAAATTTTGATCATCTGATTGTTTTCTGAATTTGAATTGATGTAATTATTAGCAGTTTGTAAAATATATATTAAATGTAGTATTGTTTGTAAAACGACTACAAAAAAGGTATCCAACAGTTATCAAATTGTGTTTGTGATGATAATGAACTAAAAACATAACATCAAATGTAGTTATATTTAATTATATTATTAATTGTGATAATTAATATCAGAATTAATTCATATAATAATTTTTCTGTTTATATTTAGTGCCACAATATGTGAATTGCAATGACAAATAACGCAAACAAACGTTAAATATTATAACTGATTTTAATAATGAGAAATATAAAAATTTCTATAACTTTCTAAAGACAAATGCAAAGTAAATGTCAATAAAAGATAGCAATTGTTTCAATATTTAATATGCAATTATTATTACCATTTATTACTAATGAGGAAATAAATTTATTCAACCGTAAGTTTTATAAAAATAAAATTATGCTCATTATTTTAAATTTACCATAATACCACCTTTTCTATCATTATAAAAATAAAAATTTTATGATTTTTATGTAAAAACCTTTTTGAAAATAATTATTATCAAACAAACTATTGATAAATTGCATAACACATACACTTTTCTATGCAAAGTATATATGCTAACAAGCATTTCTACTATCACTTTAATTGAGGTGTTTTTACCAAGAATTGAGCATATACGTCTAACATATTGTATGCAATAGCGCAGGTGTACCATCAAGGTAACCATCATGAGAGAGATTTTCCTAGCATTTTAGTAATCATTAAAGTACATTACATTCAGTGAGTGTGTCAGTAGATTAGGCTGATATCACAAGTATATTATGTATGTTTGTTATAAATATTCAAATATTTAATTTAATCTGATAAACGCAAAAAACAACCTCGATCTGTGTAGTTAAAATTGTGTTGCGCACCGTCAAATGTGCATGCTTAAATATTAACCTAATATATTGCCTGTCGTATCAATTGGTGCAATAATATAAAGATAAGTTTGTAGTAAATAGTGATTTCCAATAAATGTTTGTTTGTTTGTAAAACACTTGTTGTATACGACGAGGATATCCATCGATATATACAGTGACTTTAAATCAGTGAATTATTACTACATTTGTGTCTTTATATCCAAATGTAACTGTAAAACGGATAGAGTTAAATAAATGCCTGAATGTGTGCATAAGTAACAAAGTTTATATTAAAAATTACTTTAATTTAAAAAAACACTACCTTTTATTGATTAAGTAGTTGTCTGTGTATTAAGTTATTGATTTTTTAATCAATTTCAACAAACGTTTGATATTTTAAATAACCATACGTTTTGTGGACGATAATTATTTGTGTGATTTTGTGAATTATAAGCAAAATATCGCAAAAATGAGTGATAAAATATGTGTCGTTTGTGGGGACCGAGCATTAGGTAAGACATATCAACAAAAAAAAAACCTAAAAATTATAAATTGTAAACTTTGTCATTTAAATTATACTAAATGATCTTCATTACAAATCCTATTACATAACTATGTAGCATGGTCATCTCTGTGATTTGTGACATTAAATATATTACTGCCCTTTGTCGTGGGACTTTATTTATTAAGATCACCTAGTATGTTTAACAAGACACTAAATGTTTCCCAATTTTGTTATTTTTAAATGTATAATAAATTTTAAACAATTGTAAAAATTAAATTTTTTAATTAAATTTATTATAATAAATATTTTGCTGATTCAGGCCATAATTTCGGTGCCCTTACCTGCGAGTCGTGTCGCACTTTTTTCCGTAGAAATTTCACCAGAGCTCAGGTTTTACTAAATTTTTAATTGTATTTAATTCATAACTATATCGTCTGTTTTATTATAATTAGGAATTTGTTTGCATTTTTGGCAATAAATGTGTTGTCAATCAATTGACGCGAAAATTCTGCAAAAAGTGTAGAATTGATAAATGCTTTGCCATCGGAATGAAGAAAGTAAGTCACGA